ATATATATATATATATATATATTTATCTCTATATATATAGTTTTTTCACATTTCATCCTCAGAATGGTGGCTTTTGAGCAGACTTTAAGATGTTTTGCATTATAAAGATCCAGAGCCAAAAAAAGGGTCATCTCCTTCTTTTCCTCAGCAACAACGCTGATTTGCACCGTTGCCATGACCTCAGAAACATGACGTGATTTTGTTGCCATGACAGCAGTGCTAGGACGCAATGAGACGGGCGAGTCGGTACACACGAACGCAATAAAAGGCGAGGAAATTGTCTCCATGATCAGTCTTCACAGGAGCAGATGAACAGAACAACACATTGCGTGTCAATGACCCACACCATCTGTGATCACTCAGATATCGGCGTATTTTTCTATTTTACTCCCAGTTTAGGAAACAAGAAAAGTGAACATAAATAGGAGCGGATTGGCTTTGGCAGAGGTCTGCGCTCTCAGAGCGACCTTCTAGTTTTGACATGTTTTAATTCCCTGATTTAAAGATTAATGTGGTTAAGTGTAAATAACATCCCCGACCACACATGCAGATCATGATGCAAACACGTCTTTATCAACTTACTTGAGGGTGAACACCGGTAATCTTGCTGAACGGGTGGTTGACGGAGGCAGCAGCTGTTGTGGTTACAGTTCTGATGAAAGGCCCTTTGTTCCTGTTGGCCACCTCATATGCACTGGGACGAGTCCAGCAAACGTCCATAATGTGGAAACACGACTTCACACTACAGGCAGAGGAGTTACAGTTCAAGTTAATGAAGGTTAAACTGACAACATGTCTGAAGATCTGAGGCAAAGGGGACTCACTGGTTACTGTGGGGAAAGTCGAGCAGGTGTTGCATCGTCACAAAAGGCTGGCCGAGAGCCTCGGCGGGGCTGATCCTCTCCTCTGCATCGATAAACAGCATCTTCCTCAGCAGTCCCACAAACTCCCGGCGGTCCGCCTTCTCCGCCAACAAGTCACTACCTTCCAGATTAATCACCAAGTTCACCTGGAATACAAACATATTACTGCTGAAACCACAGATCAATAGAACTGTTCATCAACAGAATTACATATTAGAAGAAAAGGGAAAATGACATTCCACTAAACTGTGTGTATGATGAATCAAGACATGTGTTGATCCGATACCAATTTCCTAAGAATGACAACAATTCAGTCATGAACATGAATTCTCAAGAATTTCCTCTGACTTACGTAAAAACAGGCCTGAACAAGCATTGATGTTTCCTGGGGAATTTCCACCTGTGGCTTGTTTCAACAGAATAATAGTGAAACCTGAACGTTTAAATTTGGTTCTAGCATTTAACTGAAGGGAATTTACCTTTACTTTCCTATAAATAAGATGCGTGTATTCTGTTCATACAGCTGCTTCCTCTGGTAAAGACCTAGTAGCCTACATCCTCTAAACATGTGACGTTGAACTTCCTCTGAAGTCCCGTTAGGTACAGTGTGGTCTGAGCAGTTGAACATACATGCGCTATGTCATCCAAACAGCTGAAGATGTACTTCCTGGCTTCCTTTGATTTCATTCCAGTCTCCGTCTCATGCTCATCTGTTGACTACAGAAGAAGAGAAAATGTTTAGTGGGTATTCCCACGACTTAGAACCATAAGCCGATTCCCAGTACACCATGTGAAGCTTAATCTTTGATAAGACTTTATCTTAACGGTTATGTTTAAGTTTGTTTCTGGAAAAATGTTTGCCGACTGACTTCAAGCTGACATATGATGTTAACGAATTAACGGCTTACAGTGAAGCAAATCAAGCCATATTTTGCAGGTGTGTTAATACTCCTCACCTTTAGTCTCCATGCTGCATACGGTGAGTCGGACTCTTTGCAAAAGAACCGTGACGTCTTTGTCCCCGAATTCAATAAATGTTCCCCCGGCGAACCTTGTGTCTGAGAAATGTAGCGAACCTGTTGGACATGAGGAGGGAAGCAAGGAAGAAAAAATGAATAAAATGGCAATTTTCATCGGTTTTCAAGGAGAAATTAAAAATCTCTGTACGACAATTTATATTACATTATCAACATTTATTCAAAACACCTCACTTCAACAATGAATATTGTTGTTTTCACTGTTAATTTCTCTATCATCCACACACACTCTCTCCGAAAACAACACGTCATCGGAGCGCTTTAAACTGACCCCCTCTTTTATGTACTGATAATTCACAGTTACGTCACGCAACATGGAGTCACTCGGAGCTAAAGTTACCGAGTGTGGACGTGCACATACTAGCGACAGCTGCAGAGACCTTGGAGATGACACATTCCTTACAAATGGCTAAACCCAAATAAGACCCCCTGTACCAAGTGTAGCTCGTGTTTGTGATCTCTGAAAAGGTGTCAAGGTCTCTTCGTGTAAACTTTGATGACAAGGTTCTTACAGTCTCAATGCCAAATGCTTTGCAGGGCAATGAGGCTCGTCAGTCAGACGCTAAGGGACATGCAGGTTTATGAGACGAGACCAGTGAAAAGCCTGGTTGACGTCAATCACACCCGAGTGTAAAGGACAACAACCATTAGAGATTCAGCGCTACTCAGAAGAGAAGAGCCACACATTTGGAGACACTGGACACAGTCAAATAAAGCAGATAATAGATTCAAATAAAAAGCTCTACCTCTCCCTTTCTATGTGAAATACACAAACCCAGAGGTAAGGCAGACACACACGTCCTCACCCCTTTGCTTAACTATGAAGTTCTATGTTTTTGTTGGAAGCTGCTCATGTGTTGATCTTCAACGTGCTCCTCCTGGCCAATGTGGTGCTTAAGCAGTAGGCTTAGCTCAGTCTGTTGCTGAGGTGCAAATACTGCAATGTGTCTCTTGTTTGTGTGGGTGGGACCGATCAAGCAATGCATTCATTGGGATTCTGACAGCTTGCGTGATGAATGCAATCTCATCTGCTGAGACATTTAGATGGGATGGTGGAGATCTGCTCGCTTATCTTAAGGCGCACTGACATCCAAGTATCATAAAACACATTGTGTTTGCGCTTTCCTTCAATCACATCCCCATGTACATGCAGAATACGTCAACTAAAATCTCTCTCCTTCTCTTTTTCCCCATTTTCTGTCTTTTGCATTCACTATTCATAACAGTCGTGGATTACTGAAAGTTTATTCCAACAAACTTTACCCTGAAAGTACACTGACCAAAATTCCCTAAATGTAATATAGCTGTAGTTGCTGTATTATTATTATGCTGTACATTATATACACGTATACACATATGCATTTTATGTACATTACATGTATGATGTTGCTGTAGTGCTGAAAAACAACACAGCCGGTGTGTGTGTGTGTGTGTGTGTGTGTGTGTGTGTGTGTGTGTGTGTGTGTGTGTGGGAAAATTCTTGTGACGGGAAAACCCTTACTTTTCCCGAAAGGCGCGTCTCTGCAGTGATCTCACAAACCAGTGAGATCACTGGTGCAAAGCTACAGCTCCACAAAACAGCTATCTAGCGAGCCCGGGCCTGCTGCAGAGCAGACAGGAAGCATATATTTTATGGCAGTCCAGATAACAATGAACACCATAAAAGATCCATTTCAATGATATCCCTCGCTGTAATAAATGAAAGCATATCTCAGCTTAGAATATTGTACCCACACCATCCTGCCTACTCAGTGTACAATGAATCACGTTTCTAACATTGGGATATAGTAGCTTGGACCAGCTTACAAACAGGACAATTCCTTCCAGGGCAAGCACAAATAACGTTGGCCTCTGCAATAGTGTGCACTAACCCCCCATGGTTGCACCACTTTTACAGTGCCTGAGAAAGCAAGAGACACAAAGAAAGATGTGGGGGGTGGGGAATGGAGTCATACTAAAGACTACAGCACCTGGGATAATCATAGCCACTCATAATGAGAAGTTTGTCACCTCAATGAGGTGAGCAGACTGTAACAGTGAAGTAAAAGATGGTGTGACTGGAGGATGAGGTAAGGATAGGGCAGAGCTAAAGGAGCGGAACGGAGTAGGATCAGCCAGAGTTATAAATACAACATGCTGCGTGGCATGGAACAAGACCCCTTGCAGAAAGAGAAGAAGAAAAGGGGGGACGAAGGGGGTGGTAGCAACTCAGTCAGCTGCAGCCAGATCACCCGTGGCCCCTGGATGACACCTCACACAGTCAGCTGCCTCATTTCTTTAGAGTCAAATTATTCTTTATTCGCTTGTGCAAGCCATTTAGTGACTTTAGATGCATTCTGAAATGGTATAAAGCTAGTAAGGCTAACCCTTTACTGCTCAATCCGTCAGTGTGGCTGGCCTTTCAATGGGAGGTTGTGACATCATTGGACAGAAAGGGTGACGTAAAATAGACCATGGGACAGATCGTAAAGCTCTGTGTAGCCCTGCACTAAAATGATGAACTTCTCATCCATATATTTACCGTGGACTAATATTTACAGAAAAAGAAAAAAACATATCTGCCAGCAGTGACTCGTCACATGACATTCGGTGTCCACAGCAGGTTCCAAAGGTTGGACAGCCGTCGCACCGAGAAAAATGTGTGCTTCAGAACGCTTGCGCACAGCGAAGGTGTCGATCTCGTTTTTGAGCGCGTCATTCGCACGTCTACTTTGACGACAGGGTGCGAAAAACCCGACATTCGAACGGCTCCTTCGACATCACGTTTTTCTGTCTCTGATTGAGCTGTGGGTGATTGTGAGAGACGGATTGAAAGAACTTTGTGTTATTCGGATATTTGCTCATTCGGTTGGTATTGTAACTTAGATTTCTGTTTTTTTTGGAGGGTTTTCTCCAGAGATGAATATATAGCCGGGGGGCTGTCCAAGTAAAGCTTACGTGTAGGAAACACTGCATGCTCAGCACCCTGCACCGGCTGCTTTTTCCATTCTGTGACCACATTGAGAACCTTGCATGGCAAAGGGAGACAGTATTTCTTATGAGGGGTCGGTGTTAAAGCATAGCTCAGTCACCAAACAGGGATTCAGTCTATTCCTCAAAGGCACATGGGGCAAAAACAAGGCTCATCTTAGGGTGTGCTTCAGACTCCAACACATGGGCTAAAACGGGCCAGGGTGGTAAGTCATCCCAGGGAACATGCTTAAAATTCACTGCATGTATTTTAATCAGCAAACAACAATAGACGGTAATATAAGAGAGGAGCAAGATCCAACAAACTGAAATCTAATGTGACAAACTCTTAATTTCTCTCTATAGACTACTCACGCCCTTGGACAAATTCCCCCGCTAGTGATGTTTAATTCAGTCACGCATTCACACACAGAGAAGGTTTCTGATCTCTATTCGATACGTCCTTCATTGCACAGGTTCCTTCTGACCCGTTACGTCACTGTCTCTCACACTCATCTATGCCAACTTGATGCCCCCCCCCCATCACCTCAAAGCGGTCCCTTACTAAATTTAGGAGCCCCCCCCCAGATAACTCTAAAACAGCCATGCGACACGCTGACTGGCTCTGCAAAAACAGATTCATCATATTTAGAGCACTGGTGCTGCACTCGTGTCAAATCTCTTTCGGAGGTGTTGAGTTATCTCCCCTGTCTCAGTCCTAGGGAGAGTGAAAAATGATGCCTGGCCTTAAAAATACTTTGGTTTGATTGCAGTGTGCAGGGGGGCTGATTGCTGCACCGAGGGCGCCGCATTGGGAAACAGCAGGATCTTACTGAGGCTCTGTTGGCGGGCTTTGAGTAGATAGGACTCCGGGGCAGCTCAGCATAAGCCCAGATCAGTCTAGTCCTGGGAAGACACTGTCAGGGCTCCACTGGGTGGGGCAGACACCCAACAGCTCCTAATAGACATACCATCCATCACAATAATATGCCTTTCTGCTCACCGTCACAGACACCAGCTGATACAATCCTCAGGGTACGTACGTCACCAAGGAAGCAGTAAATACGGCACTAATTTGTTACTGTAAGTCACTTGAGCCCTCGGCCTCTTTCTTCCTTCAACCAATCACAGACTTTCTTTCCGTGTGTAATTATGCAGAAAAGCGTTTCTTTCCCTAAACCGAAAAAGCGTCTTCTCCCTCCTATCCATCTCATCCTGATATAGAAAATCCCTTCAGCACCCTTAAAACCACATTAGGCTTGGATCTCACCCATAAACAAATATAATAATATATGTTTTGTACTGTACACACTATGACAATGCTGCATTCTTGTCCTAGCTTCAAGCCATTTGTCCTAAACTCTGCTGCTGTATGTTTTTTAAGGCTTTGTCAGCTTCTTTTCCCAACTGAATCTTTGTAACACATCTTCTGGGAGATTTAGACTAAAGTGGCAATGGATCACATATCCCGCAAACTTTAACAGTGGGAGCCATGTGTGAGTCAGTAACCCAAAGGCAAGTCTGTAATAAAAAAAAACTGGATTGAATGCAACTCAGAAGGAAACACACTGAACCCACTCCTCTGTCGGGTGCCTTGGCTGTGGAGTGTGGGGTTAATGGAAAAAGGAGTTGAAGAGAAAGAAGAAAGGGGGGAACAGAGAAGAGACCTGGAAAATAACTGGTTGGGGTGGAATGCTACTTAGACAACAACATAGATAGGAGGAGGGGGGGTGACCTATGGGAGAAAAGGCTGGAGAGACGGTAAAAACCTATAAATAGAGAAGAAGAAACCAGTTTCCATGGGGAGATGGTACGGAGGGAGGGACTGAGTCATGGAAATTGACAGTAGAAGTGGAGGATGCAGGGATAAGTTGCATGTAGAACAGAAAAAAAGAGGCTAGCAGGAAGCCCACAGGAGGGACCGAAGGTTGGAGACTCACCAAAAAAAACGGTGAACTAAGAGTCAAGAGTGAGTGGTGGTGGGAGGATGGTTGTTTACCTGGTCGTACTCCAGGGCCCCAGGGTACAGGGGCCAGCCCAGAAAAAGCTCAGCTATCACACAGCCTAGGGACCACATGTCTATGGCTTCACAAAACGGCAATCCCAAAATGACCTCTGGAGCCCTGTGGAACAGACAAAACAGACTGTTAGAACAAGGCCACACGATAACAATACGTGAAAACAGTGACATGCTAGTAATTCTAAATCAGATCTCTGAAACAAACATTACAAATTCATAAACCAGCCATTAACTTTGATGCATTGTTTATATTTTCATAGGTACTGTGTTAATACAGAAGCTATAAAGTCACTTTATGCACTAGCAACAGTTTAAAACTGTTTTTTTTAATAATTTTACTACTGCACGTGTTGCTTTTTGGCTTTGTAGGCTGGTGGCTGATGTCTTGAGCAAATACAAATCCATTATTAGTAGTGTCGTGGAATTTCTGTTGATGGCCAGTCAAGATGGGAATTCCTGGTACATGTGTATCTGTGCCAAGTGAATTGTAAGTCAGTGTTGTGCGTGAGAGGGGCCTGTCCAAGTGTCAGTAGGTTAGCGGGTCAGCCAGGCCGGGATCAAGGCTTCGACAGGCTGTGGTATTTGCTCTCAGCTGATAGGAAAGGAGCAACACGGTCACTACCACTGTGCCTACGTGCCGGCCCAGTCTTACTTCAAATAACTCCATAACAGCACAGTAATACCATGTTACATGGATGGCTAGTGGTGACAGGGGCCAGTAAGCACGAATAAAAGGTAAGGCATGTTGACAACTGTCAAGAACTCTGTGTTTAAGACCCACCACAAATCCTATAAAGTGTGAGTGCACTGACGGCATGATGTAGCCCGAGTCTTCCTGTGCAGGAGTGGCCTCCAAACTCAATAAAATCCATAACACACAATGGCGATCTAGCTTTAAGACCAACACCTATCGGATAATCGGGGGAAACAATACTGGGAATTGGCTTAAATGCTGAGGGACGTATGTTGAGACATGGTAAAAATGTCCTTCCATCCCTTATTGTATGCATACGGGGCTGGGCATAATTCAACATGCTGGATTATAATCGTATTTCATTAGTAATGATGCCCTTATTGCCTACACAGACAGCAGCATTACTCAGAATAACTCTGCCTAAAATGACGGTACATGTGTGACTGGCAGATATAATTTCACTTCCGCTCAGCATACACACAATATATACCCTCAACAATTTACCAACATGACAGAATCCAGAGGATTGAAATAACGTAAAGAATAACGAGGATGAGATTTCAACACAATTAGCTCAAGTATCTAAGCTCGCTATTTTAGAAAGCTGGACCAACCAGACACCTGAGGCCATGCTGAGCTTTCACCCTGCTCGGCTCTCAAAGGATCCAGCAGACACTTACTCTGTGACGACTTTGGAGCCATTTGGGACCGAATGGCGTAGGACATATGGATAGCAACAGCAAATGTAAGACCTGCTATAATAAGTTTTAAACTTATTTATTACATGGTCTAAACAAATGCATGCAACAGCTGGTGCAGTAGCAGCAGAAAACCAACTGGGGCAGTTATGCCAACCATCTCAGCCTCACAGGCATGTCCTATTTATAAGGAACAGGTTTTCCCTGGAGGAGCGAGCACAGAGAAGCAACATATCAACACACAATCATCAGGACACAGGACATATAGTAATTCTGACCAGTACAACAAAGCATCATAAGACTATTGTTAGAGACTACTCTGTAAGCAAAACCTGACATTCTGGCCCCTTTCAACAGCCAATGCATCAGCTCCATCCCCATTACTTAAAGTATAAAAAAAAAAAAGCCTGCTAAGTGGGTCCTATGCAAACAATAGTTACTGTGAAAACACAATTCAGTGTTAAGGCCTTGTCAGAGAAACAGTGTTCTTATCAACGTGCAACGTGATAAAATCATGTTTATGATCGCCTTGGGCTGTTTTCAAAACTGAACAACCTGGAAGAAATAAATCAACCAAAATAATAATGCCAGTATAAGCTTAGGTAGTGACAGGAATCAAAACTTATAACAGTTCTATTTTCAGGCAAATAAACAAGGGGGAGAAAAAGATAAAGGGATAGAAATATTCCTGAGTCACCGTATGTTTAGCGCTCCGTCATTTGTTTATTTCTACATTATATTCCACCAAAGATTATGCAAAGTGCTTCTGGGCACTGGGATAGTTAGATGGTGTTATTTTCTTTATATGGTTTTGTTCTTTCTCTAACCTGTCCCTGCTGAATGCACAATACCCAAAAGTCAAAGAGTGAAAAAAAAGAGAGCCGGACAGAAAACACCGGGTCCATGTTGCCATGGTATCAAGCCCCAGCTAATTAACTCAAGCCTCACCACCCTCCTGTGAAACCAAATCTATTTTCCATCCTTAGGATATGAAGTACAGTCGGGCCACCGAATGCTGCGGGAGCAGAAGATGTGCGACTGTTCACTGCCGTGTGCAAAAGCTCCGAAGGAAAAGGAAAGATGCAACAAAAAGAGGAGCAAGGCGATGGACTAGTATGCTGCCGTGTTGCTCCAACACTAAAGGAATAAGTGGGGAGATTCAATAAATGTCTCCTGAACAGGCACAAACTCACAGACAGATTATAACACAAAGCACCCATACATAAGTGGGTTGAATGAATGAATAACGTAATAGAGGTTAAGTTTGTATGAAAGCTGAACATGTGTTTCCTCGGCCACAAGACAAAACTCCGTTCTGTTGGTCTGTTGATGAATGACTCTGGGTGAGACGAGAGTTGTCTACAACATCACTGTGTTCAAAGGTTTCCATAGAGCCTCACACGTTATCGGGTGAAAAACACGTCCAGTGGCAGCAGAGGGGAAGAAGACATATTTCAAAGAGTTCTCTGTGCGTGCTAGCAGCATCGTTCATCAACACTCACCAGTTCACTTTTACAGCTTCACCCTTTATATCCCTGTGTATACCATTGCATTTTTCATCAACTTGTGCTTTCAATGATTGTACTTCATAGATTCAGGCTGAACTGGTTTTGGTGTGGTCACTACAGAACAAGGCCTGACTGAGAATAACAAACTCTGCATTGGGCGCTGGCTCGTCTTTAATAGAAAACATCACCAACAGACCCTAATGCACAATGCTGAGCACAGCAGTAACAGCAGGCCCAGCATGGGCGCGCCACTGTGCCAAGTACAAACCAGCCACACTGCAGGTATGATAGTCAGCAACAACCACAAAATAAAACCCAAACAGGCAAGAGCAATGGTACCATTTGGTTGCCATTTTTTCCTTTACTGCTCTGACCAATGAAAACAAGTCTTTCCCTGGTCAACGAGTACAACTGCTTGCTCCCTCAGCTCAAACAGCTGCTTCCCTTCTTCCACCCATCTCTTCTCCTCCTCCCTCTTTGTTTGTCTGCCTCTCATCCACAGAGAGGCTGAGGCTCAAGGCAATGTTGTGTTAGTAGAAGCAACACAAACACCATGCGTGGAGAGATTTCAAAGCACACAGTGTACGTGTGCACTACATTGTTGACCCAGAGGTTCAGAAGAACTCCTCAAACATTGGAAATAAGTGAAGTCTTCCATCCTGATATCCTATATCAAGGCACGGACAAACATTCAAACATATTTCTTTAACCTATGCGGCATTTTTATGTCACTATTTATCAATTCAATTGAACATTTAATCACTTTGAGTTCATAAAGTTCTGCTGAGTTGTTGATTGTGTCTCCAGTTGCTTTAGAACAACAGAAATAGGCAAACATAAGAAGTGAATTAAACACTTTTTAAAAAAGAACAAAGCTTTAATTAGCCTTTGTCAACAGGGCACCAGATTTGCACATTGTCATTATAACTCTGAACACATTTGATTGATGGCTGTATTGGTGCCCAGCTTGCTGGCTAACATTTAACACAACATTTTTAGAGTTGTTGGAAAGTGTATTTTCAACTTTTGACAGTGGCTTACTGTTCTTTTTGCTTCCGGTATTTGTGTCAAGTTGGGCTAAATATACCCGACCGACATATCTCCATATTGTACTCTGTACTGAACAGATACAACATTGATATTAATCCTCTTCTCTGACCGAGGAAGCAAACAAACATTTCCCAAAATGTCAGTGTTCCTTTGATATGCATGTCTGGTAAGTGTTTTTTCCTTGAGTTGCATCTTATTTGTATCTCACTTGAAAAACAAACAGTGCCGACACGAGTGATATTCTTTGAAAGAAGGGCCGTGGCAGAGTAGAGAAATGATCTCCATCTGGATTTCTTATTCATGGCAATTATCTCACACTTCAAAAATAGTTCTCTGATCCTTCCTGCTCCATCCTCACAGGGAGGACCCAAGTGTAAAGTGGCCTCCTACCAGCTCACACAGAGAACAGCAAATAAGGGTGGCTACACTTAGTGAGGGTGTCATTGTCATTACATGATTACACAGGCCTTTCAGTAAGCTTGTTCTGATAAAGAAAACTAATTTGGGCTAAACTGCGGTCGGCCTAAGTTCAGCCACCAGGACAACGAACTGACTCGCGGTGACTCCGTGATGGAAGAATGGAGCTTTGGTGCACGTCTCTTCCAGGAACTGTAATTCCACACACTCTCAGGGCATCCTGCATTATTCAGTGGAACACAGAGGCAGTGAAGCAAAGGCGGAAGTAGCACTTGCACTCTGATCTGCACGGACCTTAAATTAAGGATACAGGGCTTGAGACACGTTTTAGACATGATCACCATTCAAAGTGCTGACATGGAGCCAGTGTTTAAGAAAGACCCGATGCTTAAGTTCAGGTCGACTGAACAAGATAAGAAGAACCGTTGACTGAGGATAATTAAAAAAATATAAGGGGACATTTTAGAAAAACAAACAAACATAAAAACATTTGTTTTCTTGCACGCCTATATGGAAATGAAGGTTACGGAGCCTGTGGCCAACTCATGAAAGCATTTGCAGTATTATGAGCTGGGTGTCTGTGGCGACATTCCCGGGAACACGAGCGAAACTCTGGGAAGTGAGATCAAAAAAACACAGCTGCAAAACAGAGATCTTTGAGGTTGTAACTTTTAAAACAAAGGCGACAGACGAACAACAGTTTATTAATTAACTGAACTCTCTTTAACGCCTATCATTCATTAGAATGCACGGCAAAAGGAGCCATCAGCAATTTACAGCCTTGAGTTGACAATCTTTGCTCGTTGTTGCCAGCTGCATGGCCTCAGTCATGAAGGAGGACATTTTCAAGGTGAAGTCTCACAAGTTCTACATGAACATTTCACCCCAAAACCATTACTTCATGAAAACACCAATGAGGACATACCGGCTTTCTGATCTTAGAATGTGAAGCCTTTTCTTCTGTTATTATGTTTGAACTGTTTGTGGAATTACCAAATCAAAAACAGGCAGAACAGAATGGCAAGCATTTATTGTGAAGCAGTAGTATCACAGCACATGAACACTGAACTATGTCTGCCCACTGCGGTATTATCATCAATTCTGTTGGATTATTCAAACAATATTTGGACCATAACACACAGGCAAAAGCCCACAATCAGGCGCTCACCGAGTTGCGTGTGCACACATTTAACGTCATGTCGCGAAACTTTTGCAGCTTTGCTGGAGGATAGCAAAACGCTCTTTCATAAAATTAAAATGAATCGTACCTGCTCTGTTAACTGCAGCAATTCATCAACAAAAACGTTTTATATTAAAACAATGTGACCGTTGGCACAACACCTGAAAAGTCGTTTGTAGCAGCTGTAAACATAAAGCATGTCAGCGTGTGACGCAGATGAACTGAAGTGATCAGCAATGAAGCCTTTAGCATTTGAGCACGTGTTTGAAATATTCTCTTAAGGGAGCTTCTTCGGTCACAGATCCAACGTGAAGATTAAAAAAAGATTAAATATGAATAGGGATATTGATATGACACAGGATCAAAGTGGACTGACAACCAAACAGCGTGTTCATAAAGCACCATGAGACCTAACCTTGATGCATCACTTAGATTCTTGCTAACTGACAGATTACATGCTAATGCTGAGGCCATGTACATACATGGAAACTACCCACTAACCCAGAGAAGTACACAGTTCATAAAGGGGGAGACTCCTGTGTGCCCAAAAGTTCCCACACACACAAAACGAGTTTCAAATACTCTCTGGGGTTTACTTTTTGGGGAAAAGTTAATCCAGTAGTCTCAGACCAAATATTCCATGCGTAGTTATGAGAATGAGCAACCGCTTGTCGTTTACATCTGGAGAAGACCTGTTCCTTTTGTCCATGCTGTATTGTTGCATAGGAACACAAACAAATAAGTGTTAACAGTAACAATGCTGCCGTCCTTGGCCAAATGTGTGAGTAAAATTAAGAGAAATAAAAAAATCTAAATGAATAAGAGAGGACACTGCATTTGCACATCCAAAAAATTACGACCACATCTCATTTCCATCGAATCTTAATCGGAGTCATTTACATGTTGTTTGTAATCGTTTAGTTGAATATTAAAAACTGTATACAAATGGTGGGGCCAACTCCATAACATTGAGCTCCAACTGAGCTGACTGTGTAAATGCTTGTAAGTTGTGGAGGTGGCTGGTGCATCTGTCAAAGTTATTGATTTGAAAAAGCTGATAGGTCACTTTAGGTTATAATGCTGCGCACAAAGCAAAACACACACAGACGGATATATGAAAATGAAAACAGCTGACGTTGGAGCTGGTTGACCTTGAGTGAGTAAGTGAGAGCTCTCTAGTATTTCATTCTGCCGGCCTCTGTGCTTCACCATCTATAGAAGTCAAAGCCCACTGGCCGGCATCCCAGCAGCTATTTTAAGCAACCCTTCACTCTTAGCCTCAGCAATGCTGCTCCCTCACAGTATGCTTTGTATACAAACTACAGAGAACTGACAGAAATAGGTATAATATGGTATGTAATCATTTGTTCTTTTTACTTCAGGATAAAAAAAAGTCGCGACACAAGTCACTCCTTTATCGAACAATCTTCCGACCTGTGTTATCAAAATACAAAACCATGCAACACCTGCGAGGAACTGCTGCTCCTCAAAGTTTGAGGTTGACAGAAGTGACAAACGGAGCTGAAGCAGCTGCACTGTTTACATCCTCCCCCACAAAAGTACAAGCAAAGCACGGCAGGTCTATTTTGAGCAACTTCCTGAAATAAGTGCATAGTACAACACGACAATACTCACAAAAAAAACATGGATTGATTGTTTGGGATGAAGAGAGAATGAAATAATTATGCGTCGTTGATAAGTATTTTTCCCATAATTTCCTTAAAATGGGTCAAAGCCGGTAGGGTCTACTCACTCTAGTCGGTGAGAAAAGCTCCGGTAAATGCAAATGAGGACAGACGTCAAATCATCTTTTTGCTTGTTTTTTCTTCTTCTTCATCAACAGTATTTGTATCCCCTGCAGGGCGTACTGCTTCACTGTCTCAGTGCGCAGGCAGTGAGAATTATTCAAATGCCTCACACTAAAAACAGCTAGCATTGACCTGAATGTTGCTCATAAATGCTGCTCACTTATTTAAGCCTTAGAAACCAAGACTTAAGACAAAAAAAAGAAATCTGTGCTACAAAATTCACCGACTTAAAACACGCCATCCGAGTAGATTTCAGATATTCTTGCCACACCGTGACGAGCTGTGAGAAACTGTGACCTGGAGACTTAAAAAGCGAACATTCCCAATAGTTCATGGACAACACAAACTGCTGTTATGCATGTACCGAGCCCTGAATGTTTCCAACAATTAGAGCAGAGTTAAACCACAAACTACATCGATCACTCCGCAGCATCAAGCTGCTGCAGTCCACATCTTAGCTGTTATAGGAGGTCATCAGAGAAGGAGACCCAGTTAATCTTGCCTGCTAGTATGGACCTATACCACCCGTTTGAATCAGACCATTGTTTCTCCAAACCGCGACGCAGTAGACATGTTATACCCTAGAGCGCATACTTATGTTTGGAACGGCATTCAGGAATTTCTCTCCCAACCTTTCTTGACTTAATCCAACTGTTCACACTATGTGTTAATGTCAGCCTTCAAATATTTGCCTATCCATTATTTTTCTATCATAGTAAGGCTAAGCTGCTTCACCCTGAATATAAATAATAGAAGAAATGTCCACAAAGTCAATAAAAAAAAGTTTCTTAATGTTTTAAGCACTATTTTTCCCAGGCAGTAGGGACATGCGGGTCTGTAATCTGCCAGTAAACACTGCAGGGTCACGTTTTTTCAGATTGTGGACTGTGGTATGCGAGTCCTAAACAGGCAGGATGTTGTGCAGTATGGGAGACATTTCCTTGTTTTGCTAGAGGAAGGACATTTTTTTAACCCAACTGTGACCGTCCGGACACCAACAGAGACGGAAATTGAATTGAATTGCAGTGAAAAAAAAGCTTTTTTGTACTCACCTATAGTACCGAGACTGGAGGTACGTGGAGCACACTGCTTTGGACACATGGCTGGCGGAACCAAAGTCGATCACCTTCACCCTGTAGGGTTGTCTCACTGGGTCCACCAGCATTATGTTCTCCGGCTTGAGGTCTGCGTGAATCAGACCCATGCTCTTCAGCTTCTTCAGAGCCGTAGCTACCTGCTGCAGCACAGGTCTGATCACCTTCAGGGGCAGCGGGCTGAACTTATTCTGCTTCAGGAAGTCGTACAGGTTCTGCTCGAGCATCTCAAACACCAGGCAGGTGTGGCTGCGGTGCTGGAAGCATTCGAAGGCTCGCACCAGGTTGTGCTCATCTGCGTTCTCCCCGCTCAGTCGAGCAAGGATGCCTACTTCGATTTGACCCTGCCGTGCGTATGAAGGGTGGTTCTTCAGGATCTTCACAGCCACCACCTCCCCCGTGCCCCTCTTCCAGCACTTTACAACCTGGCCAAATGTGCCACGTCCCAGGAAATCCAGCACTTCATAAGTATTCTTCATGGAACACAGGACTTCATGCTGTACGACCTGATAGTCCCCGTCCCCTCCTCCCGCTGCACCTACACCCTGTTTCGAGGGGCCCCCTCCGGCCCCCGGCGCAGTCATGGTTGCGTTCCCCACATTCGTCGTTTGCATCATGGCGGGCATCATTGACAGTTCCTCCACAATCTGCATGGTGCTCCCTCGGTTAACCAGCTCCTCACTTTTACGTTTCAGCCCGCATCGCTGAGAGCTGTCGGCCGAGTTCAAACCTCCACAGTTCTCTTCTTCTCCGTCACCCTCCTCCTCTCCCCTTCCCTCACCTCCTCCACTGCAGCCCTCTCCCCTTCCCCCTCCTCCTGCCCCTGTTGCTCCACTGCTGCCCCCACTTGCTGTGTCTGTCTGCTGATGCTGCTGCTGCTGCTGCTGCTCCTTGCCCTGCGAGTGGACAACCCCTGTGTCCGGTCGCTGCTGGGCCGCAGCCGGGCCTCGTCGTCGTCCTCCTACTCCTCTATTACCAGTCTGTTGTCTCTGTACACCACGCACAACCACCACCACCGTCTGCACCGGGTACTGTTGTCCTCCACGCACTTTCACACCCACTGCCAAGTCTCGGTTCACAAACGAGTGGGCTTGTTTGGTTGGGTGCACGATTCCAAGGGCTCTGCTGTTCAGATAGGTCTGCGGGTGTGCCCTCTCATGGTACACACAGCTGCTGGGCTCAACTTTGAGTTTCTTCACACTGCTAAAGGCACTTGTCTGGGTTTGATAAATGTGTGGTGGGTAGACCAAGACTTGTGAGGCCATACCTGCAGAGAAAGAGAATAAAGCAACAGGTCGTTAGTTTGGATCCTTTTTAGCATGTTACATAAAATGGGGCCATTTTAATAAACTACGCTGAGGATGAGGTACTGTGGCAAGTGTGTGTAATGTAGAACACTTATAATTCACATATTGTGTTTTCCTGTCTTTATTCGCTTATGATGGAGGGCGAGTTTTAAGTTACAATGAGTCCAAAACAACCAACACACACCCCAAATCCCATTTAGTTGTTTTAATTACCCCTAATTGATGACATCACAACTATAATTGCCCCCCCCACTAACATCAGTCACCCCAACCTCAAACATCAACTGGATCAGGGAAAGATAACATGTTGTAGTGGAGTGCTTAAGAACCACTTCACCATTGTGCCCCATCCACTGCGATCCCACTAACACCTCCACACAGCGGATGACTAACTTCTCAAAGGTTTGCCCGACCTTTCCCTGCATCCCACTGCAGGTTTCTAGGCAACCATTAGAGAGGGAGCGAGGATAAGATACAGACAAATAAAGTTACAAAAGCATCATCAGGCCCACAAGTCCAATTACCTAAAAGAGGATTTATGTTTCTCTCTTTCCCCATAATGTGTGTGTATTGTGTGTATAATATTCTGAAACTCACTTGTGGGGGAAAAAAAAAAAAAAAAAAAAAACAGTTATAAGTTTCACGATCATCTTTAAAATCCATATTCAAAACTGTCACGGTGACTATGACCTACTTTCATTCAAGCAGCTGTTCCCCCAATGGTTCCCATACTTTAATAAACAGTTAATTTACAGAACAATGTTTACCTACAAAAAAATAATAAATTAGACAAAAATGAATCAATGTTCCAAGTGCTGTGTATAAAGAAGCTAGTTTTACTAGCACCACTACAACCTTAATTATCTTATTTCCCCATCTTATTTTTTAAAAATCTGTTTCTAAAACTTTATCTAAAAAAGGACAACACAAGCGAGTCAGGTTTGGGCAATAGTGGCCCCGTAGACTCTCCTAAAATAAATCCCCATGATGGAAAACACACTTGTGTTGTGATAACACGAACGCTGTGAGCCACCGCTTTGACTCTATTCTGAGTAGCAAGATAAGGTCACTCTATTCCCCTGATAGCTCTTTGCACAATAACACCCTGTGTTACCGTTTGGAGACACCGTTTACCCTCTTCTCTATTCAAAACCAATTCTCAAATTATCCCAAGCTGGACTAAAAAAAAAAAGGGAAACCATTTTGGACATGAATGAAAACAAAATTGATGTGCCCAATGGGGAATTTAAAATTGGCCACACTGGCCCACCTACATAATAACAGTCCTGGCTCAAGTCCAGTCTAGAAGCCACCACAGTGACACAAACATTTTCATTCTATACCCCATACAGCTAGAAAGACTTGTGATGGTAATAACTAGACCAGAGGTCCTCAACCTTTTGTAACAGAAGGCCCACTTCTGATTGTTAGAATAAAATGTGGCCATTGTTTGAGAATAGCTGCACTAGACTGCATGTCAATACATTTAACATGTAATCATCATGTTATGGCAGCAGGCTGGGACATTTCAGTACAGTACCCCACCCCTCGCCCAGTGTATGCTGGGATTTGCTTAATTGTTGTTGGGACAGTTGATGAAGTACCTACATTTATGGTGTGTTGTCTGTAATTTAAGAACTCTGCCTCTAGTATTCATTACAGCCACTATGGGTAGAATTTATGAATAGCTTGAATGCAATTTTCCAAAAACGACATTTAGAGATAGCAATGCACACAGCCGGTAAGTGTCAAACACACAGACAACCATTAAGGTTTTGCATTCACATCCACCTGCATGTTTTTGGACTGTGGGAGGAAGCCGGAGAGGGAGGGGGGGGGGGGGCATGCAAACTCCACACAGAAGGGCCGGCCAGCAGGTTTGCGTCAGTGCTAACCATGGCATCACCATGCAGCCACCTGTCCTACCAACGCTTGATTGTTCATCAAACATGTAACTACACGGCAGGACTATTATCATGTGGAGTCTCAAGCACCGTGTGGCAGCATTTTATTTAATTAATCACGGTTTCTTTTGTGATATAACAACGCTATACACCACCTTTAGACTTACACTTGAAATACTACATTTATGCTGTTCGTTTCAGTGCTTTGGGAATGGAAATGGAAATTAGCTGGTCTGACGAAAGACTATACCACTCTCACCAACTGAGCAATCAAGATGTTCACATTTGAATTACCTGCTTGGTGTAATAAAAAAAACACCCAAATTTAGTTTTAAAACAAAACTTAACTTGCGCATCGGTGAATTTCCCTGGCCATGCAAATACAAAGAGTAAATGCTCGGGAGAAGTCTGCCACAAGGAACTGAAGCAGACAGCCTCCGTTTTTTCCAAAGTATGGCAGCTGCTGCTAGAATTATCAGCTGAAGCCAGATACTCCCGTGGTCCGCCGTGAGGCTCCTCCTGTGGCATCGCGTTGCCTTCAAAGCTGTAGAATCTCTCCGGCAACCTTGAACTGCTAAGTAATTGCTCAAAGTTGAACTTCTGACCCTGGTCTTCTCAAAATTAAATTGCGAAGAAAAAAACAAACAATAAACACCTGTCCACGGTGAACAAATGGCCTTAATACACAGAAATAATAGTATAGCTCCTTTCACACAGTACACTGTAGCACCGTTATTCTGCATGGCTGTTGTGTTTAAATGGTATGGAGCCAGAATGGGGGGGACACAGAGTTTTTCCAGCGCTAGATAGTCACAGAGCCAAATCGATTTTGAAAAAAGGGACAGCCAGCATGCTATCTAAAGATCACACAACCGGGCAGCATTATAACAAAGCCGGCGTAATCTCTGTGTAATAAGGGCTTAAGTACGCTTTCCACCCCATTGGGGAAAGAATATGGCACCTCAACATGACTGCTTAGCCCTCAATGTTTCTTCCCCCCACCCCATCAGTAATAGTCATAGGTGAGAGGCAACTGAACATACACGGTGTTGCTTAGACCAGTGCAACTTGGACTCTAGACTGGAACATGTGAGCTATAGGGTGAATGTTTGTCATCCTTCAGCAGATCAAATCAGACGCATTAAGCATTCGCATTTATGTCAAAGGCAAGCTGATCGTGAAACCAACTCGGGTGATAACATAATGCATTCTAACTCCGTGTCCCAAAACACGACGGCCTAGTCCAGTTCATCAACGATTTACCTGTTGTCAGGACACTTGTTTTTTTTTTTTTTTGTTTTTTTTAGACCTGTGTGATCCTAAAACGGGTTGTCACAGTCAGCAGGTTCAAACTGTTATAATAAAGTCAACGCTGATAAAAAAAAAAAAACATAACATTCAGGTATGATTCCATAGTACAGCCTGATCATAGATCTGCTCAAAATAATTTATTTCTTGCATTTCTGACAAGAATGCTGCCTGTTTTTTTTTTTTTTTTAAAGCTTCAATGGTTAAAGTGTAACGTCAGAGCAGGTAGCACAACATGGAGAACAGTGGTGGGAAGGCTTTGCGTAGTATTTGCTTAGCAAAGCATAAATCCTTTGTTTTGCAGTGGTGACTAGAGCCGTATTTGTGGCTAACTTAAGCATTATGTCATGGTATCCATAGACGTTTAGGCTCTAGATGTTTGAGTAGTCAGCAACTGGGATGTTCAGCTAAATGTATGAGGCTATGTTAGACTTCAGACAGTCCAAAAGCCCATCTGTGGTGATGACACATGAACCTAATTCATTATCAGTTCATTTCAATGGCTTTGTGGTTCTCTGTTCTCTCATTCACAACCAGCACTAATCTTGGTCAATATGTACAGTAGCACAAGGTCACCCATTATGTTAATACCAGCAACCAAACAGCAAACACTGTTATATACAGACGCACTGAATTACTTGTTGGGTCTTGTTGGATGCACTACCATATAAAGAACATGATTTGGCTACTCGTGATTGTATTGGTAACGTGACCCAGAACACATTTGGTTATTCGTGAAATAATGCAATGCGGTCTTCTTAGCTGCTGTTCAGATCGTGGTACCGAATGCAGACTGAGACAGTGGAAACAAAAGAAGTCCCTCTTTGCTTCCTGCTGTTGCACTCCCTCGATTGTTAGGCTGAGGTTGCTCCCTTAACTCACAGCGCCACAACCCCAACAGTACACACTGTGGTGCTTTGCCTGTGTCTCTTGAACATGATCTTCTATGCCCATTAGATATAAAAGGCCTTTTATATTCTGAAACATGTGACCACAAGGCATTTCCTCTGCGAACGTATGACTGTCATTTCAAAGTATTCTCCCTGTAGACAATTTGCATTGCAGCTGACTATTATACTAGATATAGTACCAGTCATTTCTGCTTTTTGTGAGGAAAACAGAAGAAGACACTATATGTACATTGTAAAACCTCATTTCGGATGTCTAAAATCTATAGATGTGTACCAAGTAATGTATTCTGCATTCAACGCCACCTGTCGATCACCTATACCAAAACATATATCAACAGCTGTCACCATGTTGCACACGCTGAAATACTAGACGCCCCAACAAACACTCAAATTGATCAGCAAATAATTGACAATAGAGCGCCACAAACTGTTACACTTAAATCAGCATTGAATAAGCCATGACCACAGCGGCAGAGTGAGCCATTTTACTGTTTCTCCACACAAAAGCATCCACCATGTCATTAAAATCCTGGGCTCTGATCAGATTGCTCGATACATACAAGTAATTACGTTCCATGTGCTGAAATAGATGTTTACTTCTTTAGGATATTGGATGTTTTCCACCCATCACTTGTGTGACTCATGCAAGTTATGCACAACATCCTCTTCATCACAGTGCTCTTCCCATAAACATTAAATCATTCCGTTTTGTTTACTGCATCTACTGTATTTACTGTACATCTCTAGATGACATCACTTGGAAAGCAGTCATGAAGTTGGCCACAATGTAATACTGATAGCCTGCTGCACACATGATCTCAAGTCGTATTGCCTCCCCGTCCGTGTTAACAAACAACATTACCCACTAACACAAATTCTTGTTTGGGAAAACACCGTTTACACATGTATTTACTGGCCACGTTGTGCTGACTGTCATCTGGCATTACTGGTGTCATTACCACCCACAACCCTGCTGAGTCCGTGCTACTGATGAGCTAACGAATGTGAACCACGTACAGCAGACAGGAGTGTGTAAGCAAAGGGGAACCACACAAACAGTGCTGCAGCCTCGCTGTACTCGTCACAGTATTACCTGCTCATCTCTACTCACATACAAATAAAGGGCAGCCACATTAGCCTCTGTACTATTTGGACCAAACTAAGCAGCCATGTCTGCTGCATAGGCCCAACTTGCCAAAATGTTCAACTTAATATAGAAAACCAAAACAATTACCTACAATATGTTATTCCTTAGTTTCAGTGAAACAAAATAAGAAATACTAGCGCTATTGTTGCACAACCCAGACATGCAGAGGGGAAAGTATATTCACTTTTTAACTCCAACGTTGTAGGCCACAGTAAGTCTTGATTTTCAGTTTCCAGTTTCACCATTTTACAAAAAAAGACACAAGTTGCATTGGACCAGGAAGTCAAATTGATGGTTTCATGCCACAAAATGACTGTAAGTGCAAACAATATAGGGTACTTTTGTTTTGCTGGTGGGTGGTTTTGGTGTACACACCCTCATATAGGAGCTCAACTATTACCCTCTACCCCCTCTTTAACACGGAACCACCGCCTGCATTGTGGTAAAGCGTCAAGTAGGTTATTACAACCTCGTTTAGAATGATTACCTGGACAATAAGGTCCGAAATACTTGACAATATCAACAGACACACCCTGAGAGACGCTCGCAAGAGAACTAGTTAGCTAACCTAACGTTAGCTTACTAACGTTAGATTTAGTACGCAGTTTAGACATGTTATAGTCTCGCGTTAATGGCGATAAAGACATATATATAGCTAATACTTTACAATTGCGCTTCCATTATGATTACAAGTTAAGGTTAATTTAGTAACAGGTGACATTACTAAATACATACACATTTAGACAGTAGAATCCAGCATGTGTTATTCTGAAAGTATAAAAAAAAGGTCCATCGAATCTTTGCTAGCTATGATTATGAATGTTGCAATGTTTTGCTAATTCAACTGGAAGCTAACACAACGCGTATTAAGTAACGTTAATGTTAACACAACACTCACAAGTAATATGTCAAGTAGAACATCAACGGGTCGCTGTGACAACACTGGAATAACAAACAACAGTGTCACGTTAATAATTACCAACAACGTCATCGCTACCGCTGGTTGTCAGGACGATATTAAAATAAATTCACCACTAGTACGTTAATTACCCAAAGTGCTGACAGAGCTATAGCTACGTTCAAATCCGTATACGGTAAAAGGCTTGCTAGCTAAGTTTGTAGCCAAGTTATGACTTTGTATTACGTCAAATTGAGACTAAAAGGTTGCGATAAAGAAGTATCACCATTGACGGCCTTCTCTCCACCACTCACCTTCACATAGAGTCACTATAAGTATAATCCAGGGCTTCTCTGAACATGGTATGGATTTATGAATCCATAACATGCACAGTTCGCCTGCATTGCTGCCATCTTGTCCTAGACGACAGGAAGGGAGAGCTCGCTCTCGGTAACGCCACCATCTCCCACATTTTTAAACAATAAATAACTCTTGCATTTGAGCGTCCAGAAACACCACACCGAGTCCAGGTTGTAGTTACACAGTTCACAGTCGTCTTCTTCCTCTTTGGGTGAAGTGGCCCATCTCTAAAAAGGGGGGTCCGTTACCCCGTCTAGACGTGCTGCTCCGCGGCCCTGACTGCTTCTAACATGTCCCTTTTCTCTCAAGTACCAACCAGGCAAATGTTTGTGAACTGACGGCATTGGTCAGACCAGAGTAATCGATCAGCGAGCAAATACATTCACAAAGATCTAGGATTTAAATTTAGCTTGTATGCCGACACAGATATACGAATTGTGTATACCTAAAGACTTTGTGAAATGTTAATACATGTGTATGTTTAAAATGATGATAGAAATAAAGGCGTAGATTGCAGTGGTCAGAGGGTAGATAGATAGATATATAGATAGATAGATAGATAGATAGATAGATAGATAGATAGATAGATAGATAGATAGATAGATAGATATTTACTGTATTAATCCAACAAGGGAATATTTTTTCGCTACAGCAGCAATTATGGTACAGGTAAATAAAAATAACAGAGTAAAAAATATCAAATGCAAATATCAAATGCACAATATATACAATAAGAATAACAGAGTAAAATACTAGTTGTAAAATGCACAATATGATACAATGAAATAGAATAATATTAGATTAACTCACTAAACAGTAGTGCAAAGATTTAACCAAACAAAACAAACAAACAACAGTGTAGTGGTGTGAATGATTTGGCCAGAGGGGATTTATTGTAAAGTCTTATTGCAGCGATTTGACTTGTGATTAAAACATATTAAAGTTATAAGTCTGTGTTTTGTTTTCTTTGTTTAGTTTATACCCCTGAAGGCTGATCGGAGAAAAAAAACAGCGACAAGACAATGACATCCTCTAGTCTCCTTAATAAACAAAACTTCAAAGTTCTGTATTAGAATATAGATAAGGTTATATATAGAATAAGGCAATGACAATGAGCGGTAAGGGGGCCAACTGAATGGGAAACTGCATATTTTATTTTACAGGCATATGCATAACTGAGATGTTGATAACTGATTGCTCAACATACAAAAGATCTGATCAAAAAAATCTTAGGCCATAGTGTGCTTAAAGGAAATTGGTGGGGAGCACAAGCTGACATCTGCTGCAGTCAGGAGGCACCCAGCTGACAAAGCTGCTCATTAACCCCCAATGTCTGTGAAGACTCGCTGTAATCTAATCCACTAAAATGCTATTGTTTTCCCAGTCCCCCACCCCAATTACAGACAACAAACTACCAGGCCTGGTCAGCTGGAAAGCAGGTGTAAACACCTCTTGTGTAACCTGGTGCATCATGAGTAAACACAGCTGGGTAATAGCCCAGGCATAGGCCATAGAAACCCCTTTTATGTCCTTTTAGCTTCTCATGGAGGACGCAAGTGTGCTTCCTGGAGTGCTTCCTATGTTGTCCCTCCCAGGCTTAACCTAGTCAAGAGCGCATGGTTTACCATCAAATCTAGACTGTGTCAAAAAAAGACCCCAATTAACAGTGACCTAAAACACTGCACTAACAAGGCTACACTATCCAATGATCTTGTCAGGACATGCGTATTCCTAATTTAACTCAAAACCCATTTTGATGGGTGTTTTTTTCCCCAAAAAAATCACAGAAAAGTGTAAAAACACATTTATTAGAAAAACGAAAAAGCGGAATAATGTTATGTCACAGTACCACTATTGTACGAGTAATTATACACCGATTTTCTTGTTTGAGGGGAAAAAAACACTTGGTTGCTTGTGATCAGGTAACTGCTCTACGGTCTTTTGCTCTGGTCTGTTTTAGATACACACACAAGCGCGCGCTCTCGTTGCGGGGGTGTTCATGTGTCGCCCCCTAGTGGTTAGTAAGGTTACCAGCACTATGTAGTACAAAACGACCTTTTGTTGTGTTATTGCTGATAGAACTTTTGTATTTTTATTCACTATTACAAAATTGTGTATAGTCTTACATATAAAGTTTGAGATTTATAACATGAACCTCACGGATAATACAATTCAAAATACAAAGGTATGTATTTGTCTAATGGCCACTGCCAGAAGCCGCCTATCGGCCAAAATTAGAAACTTGGTTTCAAGTTTCATGAGTCACTTCAATGCACGTGCTTGACATGCATAAACAGCCAGTGCAATGTCACATCTTTATCTTTGAATAAAATGAGCATAAGACAAATAAATGCTACACATATAATAAACAATAGAACACAGAGGGCACAGCCTTTATATCCCCTGCTTCCAATACAATATATCTATTTTTAAATCCCCATTTGAGGCTATCAAAATGATGCATCATCTGATTGTGTCTTTGAGTACATTTTAAAAGGGTTAAAACGCTATACAAAAAAAAATATGATTATTATTATTATTTGTAAGAGGCAATCCTATGGGTTAATGCTCAATGGGCCTCAATACGCTCCTATATTCTGACTCCCATTAAAAGTGTTATGATATGTTCGATTGTATTGCAACATTAAATTTGCGCAGTCACATTACACATTCCGTGTGTGTTTTAGTCAGGTTAAATATTGTGGACGGTGGAGTTTTATTTTGTTGAAGGATTCGCACCGGAAAGTGCTATTGTTGTTGCTGCTCCCGGAGCTCGCGCAGCGGAACACAGGTTCCACGCCATTTTGAGAATATCGGCTAGCAAATCGAGCAGCTAGTTGCTTGAGGGCAATGTGATCGACACTTCGAAGCTATGCCGATTATTTAGTCGTTTTAAGGTTGCCATCACGTTATTATTTTAGCGTTCTTCCAACTGGTGTAACATTTCCCACCTAGATTACTCTTCCAGCCATGTCCGCCGAGGGAGCAGCCGATCAGGTAACTTAGCTGCCGTTACTTGCAAGCTAACCCTTGCTAACACGCTACAACATAATTTAGCTGGCATGCTATTCATTGATAGCGTTAGCATGTAAACTGTGTTTGCGCATATGCATTATAGTATATGTATACACCAGTATTAGCGAGTATTACACAATTGTGGCAAGGGTTTGTCGTAAAGCTTTAACTTGTAGCCTCTTGGCCGTTTGTAGCCTTGTCGCTACTTATTGTTCCACGTTAGCGCGCTAGTTAGCTAATCATCACCTGCATTTCTAATTGATATTCACTCTTAGTTCCCTCCAGGTAACGTTAGTGGTACATGTTACGGTGCTGGATGCTTCTCGGTAGTGCCCGCCATAAAGCCCATTCACTAGCTGCATGAGGGGAAACAGGGTTATCTGTGTTCGTAACTTGAGTTACCTCTAAAATAACCGCGAGGTTTTTGTTCATTCCACACTGCAGGGGCGGAGCCAAGAATGTAGGGCCCCATTAATCAATAATTAACCCACTCCAATATAATACTCTTATATTTAGCGTTATGTTGACCCTCCTCGAGCCACTACAGTCATTACCCCATCACAAACATTACAGTGCACCGCAAATCTGTTCAGCAGCATAAACCGTCTTTCCTGTGCCCCTTGTGTTGTCTTGCAGGCTGCGGCAGAGTACATTCCAGAGAAGGTGAAGAAGGCAGAGAAGAAGTTGGAAGAAAACCCATATGACCTTGACGCATGGAGCATTCTGATTCGAGAAGCACAGGTTTAGTGACACAGAGTTGTATTCCTGGGGTTAAGCAAACTGGGAATACGGGTGTGGGGGGGTAATAGATTGTTAAAATACTTGATCTTTTTCTCCCATGTGATTGCTTTTAGTAGTGTGGAATGTTAATGCATTCTCCTCCTTTAGAACCAACCCATAGATAAAGCAAGGAAGACATATGAGCGACTTGTCACGCAGTTCCCAAGTTCTGGCAGATTCTGGAAACTATTCATTGAAGCCGAGGTTAATACTTTTTTCTTTTCTTTAGTGTGCATGGCTGGGGATTTTTCTAACATGATCAACAATGTGATTTTCACACAAACAAAATGTCTCAGTTTAAAGTCACAATTCTTGTTTTGAGTCACTAGGCCTGACTACTTTTTTTAGCTAAAGTTTATTATTAACGGTCAAGAGTAATGTCTGAAGATATTTTGACAGTTTAAAGCATCTACCTGCCTAAGACCTTCCTACAATATGAAACACATGTGATAAACATAGATGTAGGATGATGTCAAAGCACTTTTGGTTTTTTAGGCCCGAGCTAGACTCATTAGGAATTGTGCCTTTTGGACTCAAGTAAAGCGGAAATTAGCTCTAACCATTTCTTTTCTAGCAAATTGTTCATAGGATTCAAACAATACATATTCTCTACGTCATATTTAAATGGGGTAAAAGTGCATTTGTTGCATGTTTGGTCTGCAACAGTATTAAAACTATTTTAATGGTATTGGAGTGCATTAGCCTTTTATTCACTTGTCGTGTCAATTTATTGCCTCCTGTGTCATTTCTTTCGGGTCATTTTATAAACAAATATTTTTGAATGTGTGGCCCATTCTTTCCTTGAGACGTGTCTCCCCACTCCTGTATATATATATATATATATATATATATATATATATGAATGACCAGTGACCCGTTTGCCTTGATGCAACCAGCAGGCTTTGCGGTTAGGCAATAAGCAACTGATAGGATGATTCATTTTCCTTTGCACATAATCATTTTTTTCCTAACCCGGTGACGTGCACTTTCTGATGCCCTCCACCTCTGCAGACGACTCCTGCAATTTAGTGTTAAACACAATGTTTGCACAAAAGTTTCACAGCAGTATCAAGCATCGGGATTCGGCTTCTAGTTTAAAGTCCAGTGTGTAGTTCTGGATAATGATTCCCTCTACGCTGTGAGTTGAATGTTGCTATATGTTGAGCTTGTAGTGGTTGTGGTCTGTTGTTGTGGGGTTGCTCCCCCGGATGAAGCTACTTCTTCTGTCCCCTCGTCGCTCTTCATCCACTCGGATTACTCAGAGCAAGAGAAAAGGCCTGCTGTTATAACTTTAATGAAATGGACATACATATGTTATGGAATGAAAGAACGCATTGCTGCCTTTTTCAAATGGACTCGGCTTCTCAGGAACAGTCCTTTTTTAATAATACTGTCTAGCTTACAGACTAGCTGTGCTTGTGCTGGTAAAGCATCAGTGTTGCTCTCCACACCACGAGCACATCTTCCCCTCTAACGAAGTTGATGGACTGCAACAGCATGAAT